CTACTACTATAATCACTACTACTATAATCACTACTACTATAATCACTACTACTATAATCACTACTACTATAATCACTACTACTATAATCACTGCTACTATAATCACTGATTATAGTAGTACAAAAAGTGGATAGAATAATCACATAACAAGAATATACAAGAATACGTATACAAAGAAAATCCCAAAAATATACTAAGAATATACTACGTAAGAATATATATGCCAGGAGTATACCAAAGAATATATGGTTTAACTTCGAATAGCATCACTGGAGGAACGGAGGAACTACAGAACTACAGAACAAGAGAAAGGGCAGCCATGTTTATTGTTTGTTCCAAACATTTGTTCAAACAATTTGTATTCAATTAAAACCGATTTTGAAAAAAAATGTATTTCTAGAAAATACACAATATTGATCATCCACGATTCACTCTGACAAAAGTTAAAAAATTAATTTTTATGCAGTCGATGGCAAATTTTAGACGATTAGACGATACCAAATTTTTTTTATTTTGTGATACATTTTATTATTCTTTTATCGCTCTAATACAATAATACAATAGTAAAACTTTAAAATTTTTCATGTGTTCTGTGGAGCACTTTACCGCAAAAGATTTAATTAGGTGCATGTATTGTAAAAAATTGCGTAATCCATATCATAAACAATTCAAGTACATCGTACGCCATAGCTTTCATAAAGCTGTCAACCGGAGTTTGAATTGGTTAGACTTTATTAGTCGTAAAGTAAAAAAAAAATTGAGTTGGGCTGAAATATTCTTTTTTGAAACAAAAAAAGAAAGTTATTAGTACTTCCGAATATTAACCTATCATAATCAATTTTTAAAATTTTTGGATTGTCCTTGTGATATTGCATGAAATTTATGGCTTGAAAAATTATACTGTTATAATGATTGTTATAATGATCAAAATGATATACTATTAAAATTATTAAAATTATTAAAATCACGTTTACCTTTTTACATTTCAGCATTTTTTTAACAAAATTTATTTTTCAAAAGCTAAAGCCACTTTTTTCAATGTTATTTTATTCATAACTTATAGTATAGATATTCACTTCAACCTTTTTACTGTAATTGATTTGATTGATAGACTAATGAAATCTTGAATTGAATTTCCCCGCCCCTTCCCCCCTTAACTTTGCATCGTACAAACTCTAAGCCTTTTATTCTTTCTTATCAAAAAAAACTTTCAATTATTAAAGATAACGTTATGGTCGTGCGAAATGATCGCCACTTTCTTATAATAGTATGCTTACGTTATAAATTTGATTTCGTACACTCGTACACTTTAATTTTTCTATGAAAAAATTTTTCGAGGTTTCGCGAGGTGGTCATCTGTTATCCACGCACACACTATATTTGTATAGATTTACCCAAATCAAGTATAATTGTAACTGTACGGTTTTTTGTATACATTAAGTTCTAACCGCCACAATAAAAAAAAAAGGCTAGAAGTTAAATGACGAAATTTTGCCTACATCAAATAAAAAAAAACCATCAAATAAAAAATAAAATAAAATAAAATAATTAATAAGGTAGATCAAATAATTTTAATTCGAAAAATTTGATAAAATGAATATATGCATGAAAAAAAATACAAATTAAGAATATCAAGGATATTTTATTTTTCTTGAGAACAATAGCAGTTAATCCTTTTTCTAAAAAGTTAATCGAAAAAAGTAAAGAAAAAAGATCGTACTTTCCGCCCGCTAGATTCGATCAACCACTCGCATACTGTTAAAAGAAAATATCGCTTTTTGTTATATGCACTATGATATAACAGAATATTTTTTAGCGGTAACTTTCACCATAGATGGACAACTTTTATTCCCATACTTGGCTACATATTTGTGGAAAAAAAAACGATTTGGTAAATTAAGATAAAATTAAGATAAAAAAAAAAACAATTAGATACGATCTATAATAAATACGATCTATAATAAATACGATCTATAATAAACTCACTATAATAAACTCACTAATCGATTAATGAATCATTTTTTTACTTTACAGTAAATGAATGCAGAAATTTCTCTCCTTGTTTTCATTATACTATACTTTTAAGATCCAATTCGAGATCTGTGTAATTATAATACGTAAAGGGAATCATTTTTGGTAAAAATTTTCAGCCTTTCGATTTTTTAAGTTTTAAAAAATCAATACATAGTTACCGACCATTCTTTTCGATAATATATGTTGGTATCACTTATTAGCAAACTTTCCATATTTTTACTCATTTTTATAAATTTTGCACCTATTAAAACTAATTAAAACTAATTAAAATTTAAACTAATCAAACTTATGACTGCATGAAGTACAATCCCATGACTAAAATGATAAAAAAAACAACTATACATTTTATTCATCATATTGTTCGAAATTTTTATTTTTTTTTTTTCTTTGTTGAAAAAGTTGAATCTTTTATTTTCAAGGACGTACTGCATTATTATATAAAATAAATTAATTGTTCCTTGTTATAATATGCAGGTCGGCTTTCGGGATATCGATATTTGAGCCGGAAAGATAATTTAGGTATTTAATTTTGTCGATATATTTAACCATAAAATGCTAAGTCACATATTTACTTTCTTTATATCTGATATATCACGAATTACACAAATTATCTCAAATTATCACGAATTACACAGATCATCGCAAATTATCACAAATTATCACGAATTACGCAAATCATCACAAATTATCACAAACTATCACAAACTATCACCAACTATCACAAATTATCACCAACTATCACCAACTATCACAAAAATCACAAATTATATAAATCATCACAAATACAAACTATTAAATTATCACAAAAACTCGACATCACTTTAATCTATTTCAATAATCTCAATAATCTCAATGAACAAGTTTATAATTATACGACTTGCATAGTTTCGTAGATACCAATCTACATTGGTTTTAGTTTCTGAAATCAGAGTAATTAAAAAGTAATTAAAGCAATAATTAATCGTGCTAAAATCGTGCTAAAATCGTGCTAAATTTTAGATACAATGAATTTCGTCCAAAAATAAACCAGTGCCAAAAGTTAGTATATTTTGTTCGTATGAACATTTTAATTACTTGCTTGAGATGATGTCTTGAAAGCTGCAACTTTTTAAAATCTGATTTAAATATATAATTTTTTGTTATTTCTGGTAAAGTGAATAAATAAATCTATTCTATTATTAAATAAGATTCCAAAAAAAATTTTCAACGCAAGGAAAATGCTATTCAAAATATCCGTGATTAATTATTTTTATCGTGATTTATATTAATTAAGATATTAATTTAACTATAATTTCTTTATCACGTTCATATATTATATGATTAGTTAATCAACATACACACAAAAAAAGAAAAAAATACACTGTATATTATACTGTTATATAAAATTGAGAAAGCCCTTCGTCACAACGTTTTGGTTGGTTTTTTTTTACAATAATATCTAACATAAATAAAAATTGCATTCAAAGAAAAAGGACGTGATGATTTATTATTATTAATTTCAAGTATTAAATATTTTTGTGAAATATTTATATCCTATTCTAAACGTCAAAAGGTTAAAAAAAATATAAAGAATTTAATCGTAATCGTACGCTTTAATAATCTATTGCAATACATTTCATTTATATAAATCTTTAAAATCAGGTATTTTTATTTGAAAAAAAAATTTATGATATGCTGCAATATAAAATCTTTCATATACAGTATTTCAATATATTAATAATAAATAAACATCCAGAGCAATTTTTTGTACTCAATTTTTATTTATATTGTTTAATCTATATGACCTTTTTTTATTATTTATACTGTATATTATATAAATTATAAATTGCAAAATAACGCCACATAAATATATATTTTTTTTAATAGTAAATGAATTGACTTACTGTAAAATTTTTTTGAATGAGCTTCAAATTTATCAATAAAAAGGGTTCTTCCAGACGATTAAAAAAAAAACAAAAAAATTTTCCTTTCACTACTCTCAAGGATAAAATATTATTATTATTCATCAAAATATTCGTTTTACTAAAGACTATTTCTTTCACCATAAAAAACGCGAAGACACTTTAAATAAAAGGAAAATTTTTTTTTTATTAATAACAAACAATTTATTAATAACAAACAATTTATTAATAACAATAACTTTACAACTCAAAACGGAACTCAACGAAACTCAAAGAAACTTAAACATAATGACGACCACTGCAACTTTCACCAATACTCACGCTCACGCTAATACTCACACAACTCCGAGACTTATCTTGAAAACAACCAACGATAATAATAAAACGTCATCATCAACAGCCTTAGTAACTACTTCTACTTCTCGTTCGCTATCACCAATAAAGACAGCATTCAGTACTTTATTACCACCGAAGCCTAGTCGAAAAACTCGTTTAAATCGTAAACATTTACGAAAGCCACCATCTTTTGATTCTTATCTTCCAACACTACCTGGACCTGTTGTTCAACCAAGCACTCCACTTAATACACCTCCTTATCATCCAAATATTTCAAGGAGGTCTAACTCACTATCTTCATGCTCTTCGATTTCATTAGAGGATAATCATAGTTATCCATCCTTTAATAGAGAAGAATTAATTTATGCTAAAGCTGCAGTGAATTCATCTTCTACTTCTCTTAATAGTATCCCTCAATATCAACGTTCACGAAGAAGTTCAACCACTACAAAATCTGTAAGGTTTGTAGGTACTGAAGATGATAGAAGTAGTATCTCAAGTTCGCTTGGTAGCAGTGGCAGTGATGATTGGGATCATAATGATTTTGCTGAAGAAGATGAAGAAGAATTTTATACACGACAATCTCCTATACCACCCATACAATTACAAGAACCTGCTGCTCAACTTCATGCTAAATTCTATTCAACTTAAAATAAATTTTAAATAAATCGGTTTTTATAAAAAAGAAACATTTCACATTTCCTTTTTTCTCGTTTTTTTTTTTTGATTAGTTTTCTACTCAATACATTTTAAAAAAAAAAACAAAAAAAACTATTCGCTATGAGAGAGAGGAGAACTACAAGAAGGTTGCTACAGTCATAAAGTTGGACAATTAGATAGTCAGAGAATGTTGTTGTTTATTTTTGTATATTAACTGACATTTTAATTAGGTGGTGGTGGTGTGGTGTGGTGTAGTAGTAGTAGTAGTAGTAGTAGTTTGTACTCAGCAAATCATTCCTCAAAAAAAAAAAAAAAAAAAAAAAAAGTAAAATTACAATAACAATCCGAACTTTGTACATACATAATTGTACATATAAAGCTTCTTTTTTTTATATATTTTTTTTTGTCTACATCTCATAACATCAGAACATTCTTTTTTTATTTTCAACAAATATGCCCCTTAATTACTTTACCAACGACATCATCACTCATTTACCCTACTAATCCCTAATGTTCCTTTAAAGTCGTTGGTTAAACTAAAACTTTGAAGTTTAATTAAAAAAAAAAGAAAACCCCTTCATAATAAGGGATAATTATTATTAATAATTACTTTCTCATTTGTGACACTTGCAAGTTACATTTTTTATAGTTGTAAGTTTGTTGAACACGAAAAATAAGCATAAAAAGAAAAAATATATTAAAAAAAAATAATATAAATTAAATAAAAAATTCAAAGATTGTCTTTTATTTTTATATGACTTATATGACGTGAAAAATTTTTAAATATTGCATAATCTTGCTACATCACTAACGTGTTTAATTATCTATGATTCAAAAAAATTCGTAATTATTTATCAATTCTCCGTCACTCATGGTACTGTACGTACGTAAGTGTCGTAAAGCCAAAAATAAAAAGGGTTAATACAATGCACCGTTTAAGTCGAATCATGTGATTCTATTTCATCATTGTTAAGGTTCTTTTATCTAATTTACGTATTTACATATTTCATTATTTTTACTGTATTAGCAGTTTTTTTATTAATAACAATTATGTTAAACGTATAATAATCTTTTTTGAAATTTTATCAAAAGAGAGAAGGAATTAAAAAAAAAAAAACGCGTACAAAATTGTTTAAAAAAGATATTTAATACTTTGAAATTATAAATAAAGTTATAACATGCATATTTCACCATAATATTCAAACTACATGCGTTATGAATCTGCAATGTTTATTTCTGTACTATATAAAACAATTTATTGTCACACTAACTTTTATTACACTACTTTTATTTTTCATGCAAACCCCCACTTCGTTTTTTCCAGACCTCATCCTATCTTTTCTTAATCGGTAATAATCAATCCCAAAATCCCAAAATTTTGAGGTTCTTTATTATCTTAAAAGGTACGTTACTGTACTTGGTTCGGATTTTACGGGTTTTACGTACAGTACAATAAAGATTAAATGAACATCATTTATGATATTATTAGGTTTTTTTATATTATGGGTAAACTTTTTGACCGATTTCGCTGATTCGTTTGACTTTAAACAGGTAATTCATTTTCATAACGATTATTACAGTATTGCAGTATTGCAGTATTGGAATTTTAAAAAAAATCTTGATATACAATACAGTACAATAAATACTGAAATACGGAAATACACGTGGATTAGTTTAAAATGATAAACGATTGATTGATTTACAAATTTACAAATTATGTAAGAAAGATAGGTGGGTAGGTATACCAGTATACTAAAATAATATAAATATATATGCCTTGTTTTAAACAAGTTTTAAATTTAGGTATTATAGATAACCTTGTTTTATTTATTTTTTTCAGCTATCTTTCGCGATTATCTTTCGCGATTTTAAAAGAAAAAGCAAGTTTTCCTGGTTACCAATCAATAACGGTAATAATTTGATAATACTATAGTATCGGCAATAACGCCCTTGATCATACATACACCCTTAACGTTTTAACGCATTTATTTTACTTTATTTTATTGTTATTTGATTGGTTATTTTAAAATAGATAATTACTAAAAAATGTTATTGATGAATGAGCTTTTAAAGCCAAGTGCTTATTGACATTAACGTTTTATTACCTTTATACAGGATCATGTGCGGATTCGCTTTTTTTATTTTTGTGGGCTGGTTAGATATTTTCGTAGTGGATCGGCTAAATTTTCCTTTCAAATAAAAGGAAATGAAAGGATACAGCATTGCATGAATAATAATAATAATAACTAATACTGTAATAATAATAATAGTAATAATTTTTTTATTCAACGATTATTCAATGGTGTGAGAAAATAATAATAAAGAACAAACGTTAAAGGGGTTGAACTTATTTGATCGACAGGGTTAAGTTTCTCGAGTGTCATTTCGAAAGAAAAAGAAAAAAAAAAGATTGAGCGAAAATTGAAAAATTTCATTTTTAAACTTTCTTACAAGATTTTTTGAGTTCCTCCACAAAAGGTATATTAAATGTCTTTCTTACCCCACACTTTTTTTTTTATTGCGCAATCAAATAAAAATACAAATATAATAATAATAATAATAATAATAAACTTAATTTCAAAAAGGTTTATATTAATAAGCGAATAACAGGATGATAGGTCTTGATTTTTTCTTGTTATTACTGTATTACATTCGTATCTATTTTATTTGTTCTACTATCGCCGCCGATTATCGTAAACCACATCGTAACATTTCAACTTAAAATGGTGTGACTAGAAATTTCTAGCTTCGTCCTGAGTCAACATTTGAATAAACTTTAAAAAAAAAAAAAAAAAGGTGATACTTATCGTATCGATGTAAATAAGAATCGGAAAAATTTCCCATATTAGGAATTTTTAATAGCGTACAGTACATACGTATCTGGTATAAGTCAGTAAGTTATACGTATCAGAATCTGATATATTTGATATATTAATTTATTATTATTATAACATCTTTAAACATTAGCAAATTAATTAATGTTAATAACGTGTTAATAACGTTAATTTAATTAATATCACTGTATTAATCTCTTAATACACTTAATACAATCATATGTAGTAATTTTTTATCACTAATTGGATATTCTTGGAATATTCTGTATAATCCTGATATCTTTTCGTTCATCATTAAATTCATTAAATATGATCTGATAAAATTTTACGTACAGTTGACTTTTCCATAAGTGCTCATTATCAGTGAAAAGTGCATATACTTATATATGATAATATATGATAATTATGATAATTATGATAATATGATAGAACGTGCACCTATAGAGAGTAATCTACATATAATATAATTTTATAAAGTTACAGTACATTAGACAGATCAATGATGTAAATGATGTGCAGTTATTATTATAGAGGGAAAGTACATGTGAAGTACGCTCATCGTTATAGCGACTTATACTGACTTATAGTGACTTATAGAAGGAAAGTACATGTGAAGTACGCTTATGGAAGGTCGAACATGATTGTGAAGGTGTTACAATGTTATTTTAACTAATCTTTAATTTCTTCGTTTAAAAATATTTGTTCTACGTACAGTAAACCATTAACAAATTTTTTGAACTGTCCACAAATATTAAACGAATCTTTTTACTTATATTTAATTTGATGTGTAACGGTATACAAATAATCCTTACCTGAATGATAAGTTATGCTTGTGATTTTCTATAATTCTGTAAAATTTTTAACAATTAACAATACAATTAACACGTGAGTCAATTTCGAAATCTCTCTCTTCACAACATTTCAATTACATTTACAATTACATTTACAATTACATTTACAATTACATTTACAATTACTTTTACGTACAATTACTTTTTCAATTATTGTTAATTTCGAATATGTAAAATATGTAAAATATGTAGTGATCACTTTAAGGGTACGTAAGGAGAGGTAAAAATCCTTTTTTGGATCATGTACCACATTTTTCTCTACTAAGAAAAGTGAGTTACCAAATTTGTTTCCGTTTTTGCTCCGAATTTGCATATACAGTACGTACAATTACGACATTTAACTTTTATTTAATAATTCCAATCCAATCACATTCATTTAAACTATCAGTTTTCATTGTACGTACTAACCTTCTTCTTTAACAGAAACAATATTATGCTAGATGATGATTATCTCCTGGCTAAAAAAACTTTCTGCATTATCTACTAATCCTTCGATTTGACTAATATTTTAACCTTTACCTTAAAAGGTTAAGATTCTCCATTTTTGTTACTTGTGCATATATAATGAACGATCTAATATATATTTGTCTCTTTTTCTAGAAATTTTCATTCTAACCCCAGTAGCATATGCATTCTTTTTTTATATATTAAAAAAAAAAAATTGTTTTTCATTAATTTTTTTTTTCATTAATTTATCTATATTCATCAATTAATGACTATTGCTTAAATTGTTGAAATTTAGATAATTATGAAATTATTGAATCCCTGAATAACTGAATTTTGATTTCTTTTTAAAAAAGTTTTTTTTTTTTTTTAAATCGGGAATTGACATGATTTTCCGACTGCATTATTATATACAGTATATATGACTATTAATTAACTTATGTATGACCAATCACTCATTCATTCATAATCGATTTATCAATATTTAATAATAAGGTTAGTCGATCATAACCTTTTGAAGTGATCATAGAAGTAAAAATAAAGTATAAGTATGACATTGAAATAATAATTCCCGAGATTCCATTTTTATGATTATTTAGTAACACAATGTAACTACGCCTTCTACATTTTTTTTTTTTCTCTTTCTCATTTCGTGTAGATTTTCTTAGTTTATGTAAGAAAATTTGTTATACGTATATATTGATATAGGTTCACTTTGTATTAATTTGTTTTACGGTATATGCGATATATGCGATATATGCGATACGTATATGCAAAAAGATATCTAATGGCGCATTTAAAGATCGAATTTGGTTAATAGATATTACTGATATTTTTAATACATACGTACTTACGTATTAAA